TAAATTATGGTAGCTAAGAGAAATATGCAGTTTGGGTCCTAGTTTTATATTTCCATTTTCCTAATTTTGTTATCATATACATAGAATTCATTTTGAATAAGGTGTGGTATGAGTTTAAAAACTAAATTCCTCAATCATAAAGTCTAACAATCAGCTTGGTGTGGGATCAAATTACAACCAATTAGTTTGAGTACAAGAGTCAGAAAACTTGTTGTTTTTTTAAGAGTCCAATAATACAAATTTTAGGCTTTCACGGCTGTACAGTCTCTGTTGCAAATAATCAACTCTATTGTTGTAGAACAAAAAGCAAAGCCAAACATAAAATGAAAAAAAAAATTATGTCTGTGTCCCAATAAACCTTTATTTGCAAAACCTTTATTTTTACATTAAGTAGAGATCTGTATCTCTCGCTCTATTAACTCTATATTTTAATAGTGTTTCTCAGAGCACATTTGGGTAAATTACAGAGTCCTAATTGGGAGGGAAAAGGTTGTGAAGCAGCATTACTTAAAATATCATTACTTAAAATACCAAGTTTGGCCAGTGGACTGTATTTTCCAGGCCCTGAAAGGAAAATCAATAAGATATTTCACTTTTTGTATTTCTTCATAAATCATTCTATGTAAAAACCCCAAGTTGTAAGAACAAAAGCAATTTGAAACCATGAAGGTGACTCCAATTCTGCAACTTTGATAGCAGGTTCCCATTTTGTTTTTCACTTGAATCATAATACACATAATTTGAAAGTACAGGATGTATTTGGAAGTTGAAAGTAAATTGCTAAATGTTCACTATCCTTCAATTATACAAAAATAAAATTTTGAACCAATGAAAAAAATCTACTCTGAGTCAGAGTCCCATAGACCACGTATTACTTGGATTTCACTGGGGAGATTCAAAACTTTTGGAAAACATCTATGCTCTTTTGGGTTACTATGCACTGAAGGACTTACTAAATAGCACCTACATAATAGGAAAGAGAATAATTGGATGGCATTTCTGTCTTTTTCTTTAGAGAATTATATGTTCTCACAAACACAGGATATTTTTTTTCCCAAAGCAAGGAATTGGAAGAACATAAAAGTATGTTTTCATCCTGTGACATTTTGTAGGCCTAATTCTACACAGTTTGTCCTTATAGGGTTCTCAAAACCAGTACAAAGATGAAGCACTGATGGTAAATATCTACACAGTGAAATCATAAGTACTGCAATGGCCTAATAGCAAGCTAATTTTTGCTGTATCTTATTTTTAAAATTAATTCTAAGAGTTGACATTTCTTGAATCAATAATAATTCCCTTGGAATAGTGTTCTCCAAACTGGGTTACACATAAGAATTACCTGTATCTGCTTTTATCATATGAAATTATGGGCCCCATTCCCAGACTACTAAATAAGATAAAATGTTGGCTTGCCTTTGCTTTGCCTCCTCCCAGAACTTTGATGAGTTTGGACATAGTGAAAAAATCTGCACCACATACTTCTCTGAAATAAATATCACTACCATTATTAATAGAGAGCGAGGGCTCAGAGAACTTAAATTTCTTAAGGTCACATATTTACAGCCCTATAGCCTTTTTCAATAGAGCCATCAACTTCTGCTAGGCCACTAGAATGAAATTAACCAGGAGGAAGAACATAAAGCCCATATTCTAATTTAGGATCTGAGATTGCCTACTTTTCTTTTCAAATGGTATTTACTAAAAAGGCAGGAAAATCATAAAATATAATGCCCAAATGTTACTCTACCAGGACAGATTATATTTAATACAAAAGTGTTGCCTGGGAAGCTTATCATCCTTTTGCTGTTTCCAATTTTTATTCTTTCTGTTCTCACAAGGTTAAAAAAAGAAAGTGGCTCCAAGCTGAAAAAAGACCACCTGTGCATCAAAGGATGGCACAGAAAGAAGTGAGGAGAAGTGATTTGGATCAAGTCAGGGGAGGAAAGAAAAGCAGGTGGAATGGACAGGCACAAAAAGGAAAATACATTTTATAATTATTTTCCTATAAACATGAATGTATTTTATCAATGTGTCAATCCTGCACTTAGGTTCTCAGTAGCATTTGTGGCAGTATCTACTTGTTTTGACTAATGCAATATTTTCAAATTGCAGATCAGCAAACAGCAGAAACTATGATGGCAAAATGAAAGGTAGATAGACTAGAGCTTCAGATCATTCTGAGACAGTTCTACTTCCCCCAGGCTGCTCACCCTGGGGAGACTAAGTTTACATGTGCCAATACAGCCTCATGCTCTCTGTTCATATGCACACAGTATAATAACCAGGAAGTAAAAATGCAACACTAAAGCAAAGCAAATTCTACTAAGGATCATATTTCTAGAAAATATTTTTGTAATAAGTGCCTTGATTCAAATATAATTTATATATTAAATTGATGGCCATGGAAAATAAGGTGTAATTTTTAAAACTGTTTTTTTCTGTGTGACAAAAAAATCAAGTAAATATTAGATTAGAATCAGAAAAAAATGTTTTGTTTCAGGTGTTTGAAGCACAGTGCTCTAAAGTGAAGACTATGAAATTAAATAAAAAAAATAAAAACCAATTTTCCATACTCATGAAATTGTGAAATTACTACCCTTTCTTGAGGCCTATCCAAAAATAATAGCTTGTGATAGAGAGTAAAAGAATGCCAAGAAAGAGTTAGAAAGGAGATGTTTTTAGAGCTGTGGGAATGTGGGAAAAGGAAGCCAAATCAGCATTTGCACTGGCAAAGGCTGAGGACATCATATAGGAATCTTCTACCATTGGGCATAGCAGCTCCTTTGGCTGCCAGATTCTATTGCCTTCAGGCTGTCTTTGCACTTCCTTGATATTTGGAAGCTGCAAAATAATCTTTTTTTTTTTTTAACTTGTCAAACTGACCCAAAGACATCAAGGGAAAGAGGAAATGTAATCCATCTGTTTTGCAGCTGGAGAGAATTGAAAATTGAAATCAAATCAAAGTTGAAATGCACAGATAATCCATGTTGCATCCATAGTAAGTCAGGGGCAGCACCAAGGAGGTAGGGAAATACATGAAATTTAGACCACAGTCTCATGTCATCAGAACCACTTTGCATGACTTCAGGAGCACAGTTCACATGACAGTGTGCAGAGGCCACACAATCGCCCCATTCAGTGACAGGATGTGATGTTTTGTGGGACAAGAGAGAGACTAAACATTCTATATCTTTCCCTTGTAACAAGAATTCATCTGATGAATAGGTTTTGGACCATATCACTTATGGATGTTCCAGAACCCTAGATTGATGATCTTAGCAGAGCCAAACCCAGCAAAACTATGAGGTTTGAAAACTTTATTTTCTGCTCTCATTACTATTCCAGAGCTTTCATATTCCTTTTTAATTTTTTTTCCAAAACACCTCCCCAACTTTCTTTCAATTTTCTTTCCAGGAAAGGGCACCTAACTGAAAAAGAATCACTATAATAGTAGCAAGATTATTAGAAAAACAAAAAACAGAGATCTGATCATTTTCTCCCAAAGGAAACCCCTATGGATCTCAGCAGTTAATTCAAATTGCTTCTCCCCCAACTCCATTTAAAATATATATATATAGTTATAGTTATCAATGGACCTTTATCTTATTTATTTATTTATATATGGTGCTGAGAATCCAACTCAGTGCCTTACACATACCAGGAAAGTGCTCTACCACTGAGCCACAACCCCAGCCCTCCCCGCTCCCTTTTATTGAATAGGAAAATAGATATACAGTTAGCTCTTCATATCCATGGGTTCCACATCCACAGATTCAACCAACTACAAATTGAAAATACTTTTTTTAATTGCATCTGTACTAAACACATACAGAATTTTTTCCTTGTCATGATTCCCTAAGTGATATAACAACTGTGTACATCATAATATGTTTATTAGGTATTATAAGTAATCTAAGGCTGATTTAAGTATTCAGGCTCATATGTTTAGGTCATATGTAAAGACTACACCACTTTTCATAAAGGATTTGTTCAGCCTTTTTTTTTTTTGGTATTTGTGGGGGTCTCTTTGGATACTGAACAGTCCCTTTGGATACTGAAGGATGACTATAATGCATAATGATAATAAGAAAAGTCTGATTTGCTTGTGTTGAGTGAGTGTTCTAGATCATTGTAGCTCTCACAATGGCAGCCTAGTGTAGGATGATGGGCCAAAATAGAGACTAAGGCAACAGAGAGGAAGAGGAAGAACACAGAAAGTGAGAGTTGGGACACAGGTCTGCCCTTCCATCCTTCCCCTGCATCTGGTGTAAGATACATGGTGAGTCACTTGCTTGGGGGTATTAATATTTCCTAGTCATTAGCTCTTCGAAGGCTACAGTGTGTTTTAAATAGGCTCCTGGATGGAGAGTGAGGATTGAATCTGCCATAGAGTTAGTTATTGGAAATGTTAGCTGTTATTGTTTCTGCCCTTTTAACCCTCATCATCTACTTAATTTTCTTTTTAAATAACTTGTTTAAAAACTTGTCTCTTATTTTTCTCTTCAAATGATAGAAATAAAATTACCTGACAAGTAATGGTGTATATAATAAATATTCTTACTTCTTTCATATTTAGAGTCATCTGTGAGTCATATTTAAGCTGGCTTCTTGAAACAATTTCCAGCACATTCCACTTGCAGTCAAATGAAGTGGCAATTTTCTTAAAATATGGAGCAGTTTGGTGCTGGGAAGAACATGTATTCAGGCTCATAAACATAAACATTTTTAATGTAGCATTTAAACATGAACTATGCAACTCTGAAATTCCACAGAAATATAAACAAAATAATTTCAGAAATAAAGAGATCTAGCTAAAGAAAACTTGAAAGGAACTAAAAACAAAAAAAAAAAGAGCTAAGTTTTCTATGATATGAGAAAGTTGATTATGGATTAAAAATTTGTGTTTGTGAAATTTTTGAGAAAGATAGTACCATATTCTAGAAATTGTTTATGTTGTGTGTGAAATGATGTTGGTAGTTACTTTTTATTATCCTGACCTTGTTCTAGCAGTCCCAGCCCAAGGCCAGCTTCGGGTCTTTCTTCAGTGATAACAACCGTGTAGTCGTGCTGCATAAGTATGTGCTGGTGTAGCTGAAGCTCCATTTTGCTGTAGGAAGGAGGCCTATAGAGCATGGCCCTTCTACCATGACTGCCAAAGTGTGTCTCCATTGATTCTTCAATCTAAGAAAACAAAGAAGGCATAAAAATTCAAGATGGGAAATTAGCACATTTCCCTCGAAAGACATCATTAACACAAATCAAAAGCCATTTAGAAAGTTATTCTTTACATTTTTCTCTAGAAATAAAAAAGATTCTCTGAAAGGTTGACAAGGACATAGACAAGCTCATGTGCAAGAACTGAAGGTGAACTGACTTGTTCTCACTGCTACAAAAAGATGAAAACTTTAGGTTATTAAAATCTAGAGTTCCTTGTGGGGGGAAAACTGCTACATAGAAAATATAGCGCTCATCTCTAGCTGAAACATATACAAGGACTCTACATGCATTGTGCTTTTATAAAAGAGTTCCATCGTGTTATCTTTTCATAACTAATTTAGGTAAACATGTAGAGGAAACAGACTCAGAGGGAACAGGTTTTATGCTGGAAAGACATGGTCAAGCAGGGGTAGACGTGAGAGGGAATCTGGGAGCTCTTTAGAGATATTCACTGGTACTGCTGCTGTTACTCTTGATAAGGATATCACAAACTTGGATGCATATCACTGATGCAGGACCAGGTGTCAGGCATGAGAAAAAAAAACCTACTGAAGTTTCATAATTCTTGGCTCTTCCCACAGTAGTTTATTGCTCTCCAATATAAATAGTCATCTTTCTCACAATATACTTGAAATTCCATTAACAAAGGGAATTTTTGAATTGACAAATAGAAAGAAGGTTGAAATTGACATTCGTTATAAGGCTTAATGATAGATACTGAGTGTTTCTCTGAAAATTCAAGATTAAACATTGATAAAGTAAAGATATCTTTTATCACCAGAGGGAGTGATAAGATTGGATGGAGTTCAGGGACAACAGATGAGAGGCCAAAAAAGAGTGGGCAAAGGAAAGAGGAAAGGAAGATGAGGTGGAATTGATAAAAAAAAAACAAATTACTTCTAATGGCAGCTGTCAGTCAATCTCCATTTAATGGACCTAAAACACAGTATGTATCATGTTTCTTCAGTAGTTAAATTTCTTCATTATTTTCCATTATTGACAGAATCAATTCCACTTCTTTATCAAAGAACACAAGACCATTAAATTAGTCCCTGTCTTCCTTCTCTGTTATATCTGAATCATTTCCATTCCTGATCTCCATCATGCTCCATTAGATACAACTGTGCATTCTATTTACAATTCCTTCCTCTTCTATTCATTTATCAATCAAACTCCAAACCATCCCTCGGTATTCAAATACTGTCTCTTTTAGAAAGTTTTTATTTAAATACATCATTTCTACTAACATTTATGAAAGGATATTGCATCTCCAGTTCAGCTTCTTAAAAAGCCAGGCCTGCATTGTTGCTGTGTCTCCAACATCTATCCCGGAACATAGCATGTGCCACATTCTTAATAAATGAAAGTATTTAGTAAATTAATGAACTGTAGTGCTATATCAAATTTTTTGAAGATATGTATGGAATGAAGAAGAAATAACTTTATAAACATTTCTAAGGTAGGAACCATATCTTATTTTGCATCACCTACAACCTATTGCCATAAAAATCAACAGACCAAGCCTAGTGAGATGCCAGAGGACACAAACTGGAGCCAAACTGCTTGGACTAAAATCACTTGTCTTCACCAGCACTATCTGTGTGGTCATGATCAACATCTCTTCCTGAAAGAGCCCAGAAGATTGGAGAGTTTTAGTACCTGCCACATAGAAAATGCTATAGGGGGTCTTTTTAAATAATAATACATCATAAAGAGCAATGAATCAGGAAAACTTTCTAAGTTTGAGCTCTGCCTAGCACATGCTAACAAAGGTACTTGATACATGTGTGGACCAACGTAATGGAAAGGAACAGAACACTAGCTAATCATACCTTCCGTGCCTGGTACTTTGAGAAAACGTGTTTGATTAGCTCTTTTCCTTTTTTAAAGGGTATTATGTTTTATTGATGAGGAAGTTATTAAAGGATTTACTTGCAAATTGGGACATGATTCCCTAGCAAATGCTGTCCTTGTACAGAGAAACTTACAAGGAGTATTTGCAACTGAACACAGGTTGAGCCTCTGGACAGAGGGTAAGAGGGAACCCAGTGGCCCTCAGGAAGCCAAAGAAAACAAACAGGCGTCTAGGTGAAAGGGGAAGACAGATGCCTCCAAATATATCAGTGTCACTCAAGCAAAATGCACAAGATCCAGAATTCCCTTCTCACACTATTTTCTTTCATAATCGCAAGATGACCATCTATTACTGGCTCAAGTGTAGCAGGGATTTCACATGAGCAGAGAATGTTTTAAAGCTCTTAGTTATTGTAATTTTAATTTGGAAAGATACCACTTCTTTTCCACCAACCAGGATCAATTTAAGCAATAGCAATGTTAACTTTTACAAGCATACCTTATATAGTGCTTGTCCTAAATAAAGTATGATCACCAGTTGTATTTTGTAATAACCTTTATAATTTGGACTGAAATTTTAATCATGTCTCAGACTACAGAGAATAAATAGGAAATGAGCTTGTCAGTAAAATTATGTTGTATTATCCTGTAATACAAACTGCCCCTGCCCTTGTAATATTTATAACACACTGTATCAGCAGAATGGCCCAATACCAAAGGGCAAGAACAGTTTTAGCCAGTCCAACGACAGGTGCACACACTGCGTAAGTGAAATAAAAACTATGTGAACAATCATGTCAACCACACAGCATATGAGGGATTATCAAATGTGAATAGCAGCACTCAGGAAAACAGAAGCTCCCAATTACTCCTGCATTTTCAAGTATGTATCTTTAGTGGAAGAATACATTTAACCACTAGCCTCCACTACATCTTAACATGAGACAACCAGAATTTTAAAAAGAATGTGTATTCCTGAATGTGTATACTATGAACTTCTGAGTCACTTGCTTCTCTCTTCTTCTTTATAGAGATTTTACAATATTTCCCCAGAAATCACTACGGTAGATGACAAGAAAGTTGTTTTGCAACCAAACATGTTATTCTTATTGGAAGGACTTCAAAATCTAAATCTTTACATCACCTTAGAAGCAAAGAGTGGAGTGTTATAATCCACTACTGTGAGTGTTGGATGAAGCCCTATACAGTGTAATATGAGAAGGAGTGGGAATTAAAACTCTGGATTTCAATTCTGGCTCTACCACTTGCTGGTTTCATCCACTAGGCCAAGTTCTTTAATCTCTCCACAGTAGGATTTTCTCATAGGTACAGGAGAAGGAACAAATCCTACGCCAAGAGGTTATATTGGAAATTAAATGAATTTTTGATATGAGAATGTCTAATATAGTGTCACAAAAATAAATGATGCTAAATGTATACAAATGTGAATATTAATATTATAATGTACTCCTTTTATCTTGGGAATCCTGTATGGTTTTCAACTTTTGAAAAGCTTTTGGTTCAGTAAGTCATAAAAAGCATTTTGCAATGAACTATATATTTTTTCTTTGTTCCTCTATAAGGGTTATCATCTTTTAATGTACAAATATAATTTACTTATTTTATGAAGTATCTGTCTCCCCACACTAGAATATAAATTTAATTACCTAAATTAAAACATATTTTTCTCTGTTGTGTTCACTTTGTTTTTCCAGCAGTATAGTAATTGGCATAAAAGAAACACATGATAAATTTTTTTGGATAAATGAATACAAACATCTTTTCCTTCAATATGTAAGAATTTTTGTTGTAAATACTAAGAAAAAACATTAACAATAGAAAATTTTTAAAACCTGTATTAAATTCATTTCAATTGAATTATGAATAATAGCAAGAATGGCAAAAATATTTAAAAATTTGAACAAAATACTAAACTTATAGTGAGAAAAAAAAACTGAATACAAAACATTATAAAGTGCTGACTTTCTCAGTTACCTAAAAAAGGCTTCTCCAGATTTACCAATAAAACAAGAAATACAGATTTTAAAAATATTGCATGAATGAAAAATAAAACTTGCCCTTTTCCACACAACAGAAAATTTTTTCTGGATTTATTGAAGTTTCCAGGTATTTATGATATCTTTTCATGCCCATATACAAATCATATAGTGGACTTTGAATGTGTGTCATTTATGACTAAAAGTTAAATTGCCTTCCTGGTCCAGATTTTGGCATTTAAAAACTATTACAGAGTCTACCACAGTGAATTATGTTTTAATTTTTCCACTGTAAAAGTAAAATACAGATTCTTTCCTCACTAGCAAAATGTATACCTATTTTTGAGAATGTAACAAATAAAATGGAAGCGATTTTTCAGGATGCATATCATACAAAATTTTATTTAAAAATTATGTTATAACTGCATGACAATTTAGGACCCATAGGTTTCTGAATATGCAAAACAGCCTTGTAAGAATTTCCCTCCCTAAGGATTGGGGGTACAGCTCAGTGGTATAGATTGCTGGCCTAACATGAGCAAGGGCCTCTGTTCAATCCTGGGAAAATATATACATATATTCTCCTACCTAAATGAAGTATTGGTGAACTGCTGTCTGTATCTTGTAGCAGATTTAATTGAATCTCAAGTTCACCATTGAATGGGCACATGGTTCTTGGAACTACTTCATCATGCCACTGAGCATCTTCTAACTGTACCCACAAACTGTACCTTAGGCTATCCCAACCCTTAACATCCCATGTTAAGTAAGTTTGCTCATCAGTGACACTATGTAGGTTCTGAACAAACAGCAGAGAAACAAAAGCAATGGGTTTCAATACAAAAAATAAATGCCCAATAGAGCTTTGGTGAAAAAGCGAAAGAGGTATTGCTAACATTCATCATCACTCATCTCGCAACATATTTTTTCCATTAGCACATTTCACATTGTATAATTATATGTTTTTTGTTTAAAGTTCATATTTTCTACTACTGCATTCTATAAGAGACTGCACTTGTCTGCTTTAGCCATTGTTGTATATGCAACTAACGCTGAATTAAAGACCATGGATGGGTGAAGGAGCAAATGAACAAATGCATGAATGCAAAGTTT